AAAAAAATAAAATCAGTAGAAGCTCTCAGCCTCCTGAGAGTCCTCTTTGTCTCTAACCTAACTGCATCCTTCTTCAGTTAGCCATTGTTATGTCTTCTATGGCCGTCATTTTCTTCCTTATCTTTATTGTTTCATTTTCCATTACGCTACCTTAAACAGTTTCATCCAACCTATTTAAAATTATTAGTTTAAAATGTGTATAAGTTTGTACAGTATTTTTTATAATTCAACCAGATTCTTCTTGTGTAGCAACAGTAGTTTTACACAGAATGATCAGCACTACCCAGTTTATGAGCAACTCAAGAAAGGAGTTTCACTTTCTATTTGGAGAAATTAAGACTCAGGGCTAAATAACTTGCTCCTGGCCACAAAGAATACAAGTGTCTGTGGTCTCAGGACTAAAAACACACTTGCATTATTATTTGCAGATTCAACTCAGGGTGTCGGGTGCGCTACCCAAGCGATCTGCCACTGAGCTACACTCTTGCCCACAATTAGATTTTTTTTCTTTTAAAGGATCCACTTTGTTCTAGATCACGAGGCAGAGCTGAGAGAGGGTTACAGATTCTTTTTAAAGCTCCTTCCCTCCTGGAACAATATATCCTAGCATTATCCACTCCTATAAGACATAAGTATAAAATATACAAGGGGATAATCCTGGCAGACACGATGGGACTGGATCATCACTTGGATTGGTAGCGACAGAAGTGGATTCTGGGTATACAGTATTTTAAAGTGGATTAGACAGGTATTGACTGACTGTAGACAGCATGTGAAAAAAATTTTTTCTATGGTATATTGTCTTTGGTGTTACAGCCCAGATGACACAGTATACACACTAATGTAGTACAAGATTATAGTTAATTTCTCGGTCGGAAAACTATACATGCTTTTTTTTTTTTTTTCAAAGAGGTGGCCGGGTGTGGTAGCACAGTGCTGTTTCGTACACATTCCGCGTCACGACACAGGCAAGGGTGGACATGGACTAAGTACTGTAACGGGATATACAGTAGAAAAGTGTCAAGAAATACCTCCTTCCCACACACTACCCTAAGATGCCGCCGGTCCCTTCCCTCGAGCGTTCCTCCCGGCTGCAAGCACCCCACAAACGCGACCACCTAAGGACGGGAACGCGGCTGATGCTGTGATGGATGGTCACAACCAAGGTACCTTTCACCATTCTTCACCTTATTTGCGGGCCTTACCTGACAGAGGTGCTTTGCCCGATCCAGGTCCCGAGGCAGCACGCTGCGCATGCGCAAAGCGCTGCGCTCCTCTCCCTGCCCGGCGTTTCGCTTTGCCGACTCAATTGAAAACTTGCGGTAGGCGGGGCGAGGAGGACGTGGCCACTGCGCTTGCGCAGGATCCGAGTCTCGCGCACGCGTTCTCCCTACACTTCCCGGCGCGAGACTGTGGGAGGCGGGGCATCCGGGTCCCTGGGGGCGGCTGTGTCCGCCTCCGGAGCTCAGCTGGTCGGGTCTTGTCTGAATAGGAGGTGAGGCAGTCCTCTTCCCCGCTACGGAGTGCAGTTTGACACATTCACACGCGTCCGTCCTCCCGGAGGAGTTCACACAGGTGGGGAGTAAATTCGAGTTCGTAATGAACATTTCTCCCCTCCCCCCGGCCTGGGTTCGGTCCCTGTCCGCCGCCTCAAGGGGTTGATGATCCGGAGAGCCCGGCGACGTGGGGCTGACAGCTTGAGGAGGCTTGCGGCCGCGTCTTACACCTTCCACCCCTTCGCCCGGCCCGGCCTACCCGTGCGGTCCTCCGAGCATCCGGGCCGACCAAGTCCCCGCGCGCGCGAGGCCGCAGTCAGCTGCATCCTCGACCGCGGCTGTTGCCCGGCACGACCGGACGGTGGGGACCTCGTCGCGCCCGCCTCGTCCCGCGAGGAAACCACCTGGGGGGCCTGCAGTGTGGGCTCTTTATGCTGCGCCAGGTTGTAGCCGAGAAGGGTGAGGAAGCCGCCGTACGTACCCGGCGGTGGAGGGGGTGGGGTGCGGAGAATGGGTGGAGGCTCGCGAAGGGCTTGACTTTAATGTTTGGTGTTTCATATATACGTTTGGTTAATGACCTCGTCATTTTTTTTGCTGGATGTATTTTTGGAAGTATCGTGCCGTTTTTGAGTATTTTTCTTTTCGCTGCGTTATTCATTCTTTCTCACCAAGCATGCTTTTGTTTTTATGTGCACCTTGGTCCTTTCAAAGTTGATTCTCAGCTTGTGCTGCAAAGAAGTGTTTTTATTTTCCCTGAGTGAAATGAAAAAAGCTATATTTTTCCTTTCTTAGTAGTTATTAAGCTTGGCTTTTAACATTTAAACGACCTTACACATATTTTTTTTAATCTGTTAATTTAAGGTGTGAATTAAAAACTTCAGTAATGGAATTAGCGCACAGTTTATTGCTAAATGAAGAAGCTTTGGCCCAAATCACTGAAGCAAAGAGACCAGTTTTTATCTTTGAATGGTTGCGATTTCTTGATAAAGTTTTGGTTGCTGCCAACAAGGTATGGTATTGCTGTTTTTCCAATTGGGTTGATCTAAAGAGATTTAAAAGACACATGTTCAGAAAAGGTTAATGGGTAATTCGGGAGCTTGACAGTATTACACTAATGTAAACTTGTAGTTTCTCTTTTTTGTATTCTGTGCCAAAACCCAAATTTCGTGTAAATTTGTCTTATTGCCTACTTGTTTCTTCCAAGACAGCTCGGTGTTACTGCAGAAAAACGTTAGTGTGCAACCAGAATCATTTTTAGCAACTGCAAGGTCTTGGTGCTTGGTCTGGGTCTAGGTCTGGCAAGCCTAATATCACCTGTCTTTCTGTAGAGTTAATAGCAGGCATTTACTTTTTATCTTTTATTCTTCCTACATAGTCTCTTTAATTAAAGTTCATTGTCTTGCTTGTGGTTTTTTCCTTTTTATTATCTTTAAAATTACTTACCTTAAATGACTGGTCTTTTTTTGGTAAAATTTAA